ACCGATAATGAGCGGATCATTTAAAAAGCCATCCCTAAATTGCCTTGAGGTTAGAGAGAAGAGGGGAAAAGGCTTGAAAGGTTTTCAGAGATTCTGAGCGACGGTCGGAGTGGTGGTGGTGCTGGTGGTGGTGGAGGGAAGGACGAGCTCTGTTCCCAGAGACCTACAGGTGGTTTGAGCTCACGTTTCGACTGGGGCCGTACTGTCGTACTGGATCATCTCTGAACTGGTAAAGAAAAACAAAACGTAGGTCAAAATTTTCGAATGAAAAGATGAAAACCGAAGTTGAAAGAAAACATAAAGAGACTTGAAAAGCAAAGCAGAGACAAATTATCACTGCTCAAAACACTGGAGGTCCAAAATATCGATCGGAATCAACATCGAATCGATAGCTAGCATAAGATTGGAACTTCAGTTTGAGATTCCCTCTTGAAATTTTATTTTAATTTTGTAATGTAGTTTCTCACCGCTACAGTACTAAAAGATTTTTGCTTTAATTTGCTCTTGAATGATCATTTTTGCACTTTGTTTTTGAACACAATGCACAACATCTGTTTAATTTTATACATTTCTGATTATCATACAAGTATGTTGGCAAAGTATTTTGTAGATACCTATAAACCTGATCTTAATTCTGCCTTAGGTTTTAGCAAAAATAATTACAATGAAAAATCACAAAGACTCGTAAAGGACAGAAGTTTGATAATATATCTTACATAAATGATACGTATCGGTATCGGTGTCCGTATTTGTGATACTGGCTCTGCATTTACCTCCATTTTGATGCTAAAAACCAGAAACTGAACACGCCTGTCTCATGTATCTGGACGTGAACTGCTCCATATTGTTGAAGGACAGAATAAAAAATTGTACCCACCAACTTGTGAACTTTGGAGACATTAGATAAGAAGCACCTTGGAAATGTTCTCCTGTCATGTTACAGCTACAAACACTAAAGCTTATTTTATCAGGATTCTATAGGAGCGACCAACATTCAGTCTGTCAAGTGGATGGAAAACAATATACGGTGTAAGTTAGCCAACTACCAAAAGTTATTCCTCCCTTATCGGAGAACTTCACATTTGCAAGATTTTACCATAAATAACTGAATGAAAATGAAAAATACAGGAGGCTCAGTTATGCAGACTTTTCTTGAACCTGGATGTAAAAGCCTCTTGGAGAGCTGTTTAGAAGGAAAGTAAGCAAAAGTAAACTTGAGAGAGCAGCAGCTTCAGCAGCAGTGGCGGCTGCAGACGATCAACAGGCACAACATGACAGTGCAGCTGGACTGCAGCTGAGCCCACAGTCACTGTAACAGTGTGTGTGTGGATGCTGGAGCCTACTCTTTCTTTTTGTTTGTTTTTATGCATCATGATACGTGCGTGTGCCTCCGTGTGGGCAGGTACACTGTGTCACGAGGTGGGCTTTATTACTGTGTTTTTGTGGTTGTCGGATGTAGAAACCAGATGATGTGTCACTGATGGGATTCTTGGCCTCCCGCTGCCTCCTCTGCTTTTCAGCAAGAAGAGCAAAGATTTGAAATTAAATCAGTTCAGATTTTCATGCTACCTTGCCGTTTGCTGTGTTTGTGTGATGGAGCAACGGTTGCTTCTGTTGTTTCTGCAGCTGCACTGCAGTAAAGCATACAGCGATGGGTTAAACCAACAAAAGTCAGATCCATCAGTAAAGGAACAAGGTTTTACGACCAACACTGTTAAATAGTGGAAACTTGGCACTTCGGGCAATGCATTGTGCTTTTTCTGATTGCTACAACAAAATAAAGTCGGATGTTGTTAAAAGCAACTAAACTGATCAGATGTAGTCCAAGACTCATCCAGGAAAGAATATTGACGTAGCATTTGTTGAAAGATTTTCTATTTGTTGTTGCCACATATGTTTTGGAGTTTGTTGCTGTTTTGACACTTTCAAAATGTATGTATTGTACAGTGGCAGCTGTCATTTAAATAGTCTGACAAAGCACATCTTACTATTTGAAAAGTCCTTTAAAGAGATGAAGTTCAGTTTCCTTATTATCTAAGTCAGACATTTTATTTATTTTTTTTTTTTTGGAGTCCTGAAAGTTTCTGTTGCGATTGGAAAATTGAAAGAAAATAGTTTGTTTTAGGGTGAGAAGTATTTATTCCCTTACAAATGTTACTTGTTTTAAGATCTTCACAACAAATTTTATTATCGCACAAAATAGTTTTCATATATATATATATATATATATATATATATATATATATATATATATTCAATCCGTGTATGGTTTGTTCTTTGGTTTTTTCGTTTCAAAATAAAATTGGAAAAATATAGATATATACACTTTTTTTTTATTCATTTAGACCAACCTGGCCCTATAAATGATCTGACAAGGCAGGAGGTGTTGTATCTGAACGTTGGCTTGACTGGATGATTTCCAGTCAAGTCAACTTAGGCCATTATTTTAGGAAGGTGCCTACGTAGTACTATCATAAAAAATGTGGGTATCATCAATATGTGTTGTACGGTTTAACATTATTCTGTTGTGAAAACAGAAATTCCTCTGGATGTTAATTAGGGCAAGCTCGTTTGGAACAAGATCAACGAAAAGCATCACGTCAGACGCCAGACTCAAACTCGAATCACCTGGACTCTTTGTTTGTCCCTCCTTGTACATGAAAACATTCAACTCCTCCATATGTTTCTAAAACTCCCCCTGTGATTTGGTGCCTTTAAAAAAATTACAGCATCTTGGGAGGTAGAAATAACAGTGGCGCAAAACCGTGATATGCAATAATTCACCCACAGTATACACAACGTATCCCAAACACAGGCTTCAGGAAAAGATGTTTTACTTTTATACAATAAACAAGTGTCCATTCTGTGTTTCAGAGCTACACAGAGTAAGAATGTCGAGCTGGAGACGCGGCCTTAGCCGTATGTTTGTCGCTTTTTTTTTTTTTTGGAAACTCTTCTCGAAAATACGGCAGCTTGGGAGGTGGAAAGGCTCGGCGATGTGCAATAATTCACAAATTCTGCAACCACAACCTATACATTGCATCCCAAACATTGGAGTGCGTGAAAGATGTTTTATTTTTATGACATAAGCCAGGATCCGTATGGCTTCTACATGGTTTACTTCGGCCACACAGTCACCAGAACAGCTGTAGGCCGAACCTGCGCGGTAAAGCTCCTTCAATGCTGAGTATGGTAAGAGCAAATATGGTAAAAATGGCCCAGAGCATGTCTCATCTCACCTGTTCTTTACCAAAGATATGATAAATAGAGTTCCTCAAATGTTTTAGGAATAAATAAAGCTAACTTAGTTAGATTGTGTTGGTTCCTTTTAATGGTGGGACTCTGAATGCACCACAATGTTTGAACTAGACGCTGGTGCGCTTAAATCTGGATGTGTTCGGGTTTCACTCCATGTTAACTTTGGAGACAGTGTAAAATCTACCTTACTTTTATCCCAAAGGCTGGTAAAGATTCACTGATACACACCTTTGGGGAGGAGGGACATGAAACGGGAGGAACACACAATGACAACACCTAAAAAAACAGAGAAGCGGAAACAAAAATTGATCCAATGCTGTGATGTGGCCTCCTGTATCAGTTGCATTTTTGGAATAGTCTCAAACCTCTACATGTTAATTCAAGTCACAAAATAAAACAATGTGAACTATGAGCTCCACCGAATAACCTCGTCTCTCTCGTCCTGCAGCACTGCCTCTGCATTGATCCCCGAACTGATCCAGCTACTCTGCGACGACTCTTCCGTCAAAGGTTGCTCTATTAGAATACCTGCAACTTTAACTTAATTGCATAATCCTCATCATCCACCTCTCGGCGCTCTCTCACTCCCCGTCTCTTTCTTTTTCCTCCCTGTGCTCGCCGTTCTCCCCCGTCCCTTCCCTCTCCATCTTGACACAGTGCACTGAGCCTAATCGTGGATAATTGGGTGGGAGGGGCAGTGGGCCGGCCCTGCCTTTGTGTGCAAAGGGCAAGTGGTCAAGTTAATGGGGCCCTTGTGTCGAGCTGGGAGCACTCTGTCTCTCTTTTCCTCCGTTCGATCATTCTCTCTGCCAGTCAATCTCTGCCTCTCGGTCAACTATTTTTTTTTTTTATTTCACGTCTGAAGCTTTTCCCTGCTGTTTCGATCCAGTTTCCCCTCACTTCCAGCTGTCTCGTGCGCTGCCTTTTTATTTTATTTTATTTTTTTCCCCCTCCCGGGCGTTCTTGCACCTTCCCCATAGCATCTTTTCTCCCTTTCTCCAGATCTGCCCCATCGTCTTTTTCAGCCTTTGTCTTCCTCTCTTTGCCGCCGTCTGTAGCTTTTTCTATCTCTTCTCTCTGCCTCTTCAGCACAATGTTGGGGAGGAGAGAACAGACCTCTTTAAAATATCAAAAGACAGATCAGGAGGCCCCACTGGTTTCCCCCTCCTCCTTGCATGAATTCTCCCTCCCTTCTTCTGACAGATAAACAGAAGAGTGAGCCTGCCGGATTAGCTGCTGTGTACTGCCTCTCCTCCCTCTCTATTTTCCTCCGAAAGAGGGGGATGAAGGGGGTAGTGGTGTTCACCGGGCTTGATATCCGTGTATGCATATAGGCGCATGTGTGTGTGTGTGTGTGTAACAAGCTTAGCACACAGGATGCTATTGTGTTTGAAACACACGCCGCAGAAAGTTTAAGTCTGAGGAAAACTTTACTTTGATCGGTGTTTAACTTTCAGAACCGAAACCGAGAGAGAAAGAGAGAAAAAAGTACATTACAATCATTTTGTATGGATTAGTTGTGCAGATTATAATAAACTGCTTTGCTTAATCGTACAAAGTAGTGAAAACATGTACATACAAATTAAAAGGAAAAACGAAAAGTCCAGATTTAGTGAAGAAAAAATATTTTATTCGATCAGAAAAACCATGAACATTCAAATGATTTTCATTACAGCAAAGCAAAACGCTCATCCTCTTTTCTAAATCAAATCTGTTTGACTTACAAACCTCCTCACTTCTGCTTTTTTTTTTTGTCGCGTCTGTTTGAGGCCTCAAATTCACACGGAATGACAAACAGGACGCTGAAATGAGCTCTAATAAAAATATTACAGATTCAAACGTCTAATTCACACATACGGTACATTAGGTACGAGCTGATAGATCGTTCAGAAAGAGTTTCAATAATAACAAACAAGATATGCATTTTCTACTGAGTCAAACATTGTTTTTCGTTATGGCTAAAAATTGATGCTGATGCACACGATGAAGAAAACGCAGCTGAGTTTGTTGACAGTGGTCCGGTTCAGAAATGAAAATCAGTCACATCCATACACAGACTGAAGTTTAAGGTTGAACTCTTCCTCCTCTGCTATGCCGATGCAAGTCAGCCATGCGTTTCTAAGGCATTTATACGTATCCAAGGTGGATATTATCGATAGCTTTGCTGCTGCTGTTGCAGGTGCGATGTGAGCTACGGCTAAAGCCAGGCTGCCGCGGATTTCTTTGGGGACACGTCGGATAATTCAGTTGTACGGGCGTCGCGACTCAGAGGCGCCGTGTAAACTGCAATGTGTCGCACTGCTGCAAAATTGACAAAGTGCAGCAAAAGCTTCTGAAGCGGGCAGCTAGCCGCCTCTCAGATGCAGTGAAAACCCGAATCCTCAGATCGATTGACTCGGATTTGGCGGTCCCCACAGTGAGTGAAGCTAGTCATAAATGTCACGTCCACAAAGCCCACTTAAAGGAATGATTGGAGAAGTTCATCTCACTGTAATTCAAGTCAGATCTTCTACAGAATTAGGACTTCTAGAATATTCTAGAGGTCATCTTAAGCTGGGCTGATCCCGTCCTACAAAGCAAAATGATTCAAAGTAAGAGCGTTTGGTTTATTTATTTAGAAACTAATCACACAGATATGTGATATTACTTATGATTACAAAAAAATACTTTCAGAACTTATTTAATTTCTCACAGATTGTGTAAAGGACATTTAGCTTGAATTGTGAATTCTTCAGTAATCACAGAAACACTACTTTTTTATGGTGCCTCTGTGTTTTAAGGCAGCATGAAATTAGAGAGCCAGCTTGAAACGAATGCAAACAAAAAAAAAAGAAACCCGCTGAAAGTTTTAATTGATACTTTTAAAGAGTACTTACTGGTTATAATGCTGATTTGTTCAATACCAAACACTTTAAATCTGATAATAATACTAGTCGAATCATGGTTATCTCACCATATTCGTCTTTATGTATAGAAGATTATTTAAGAAATCGTTATTTCTATGGTAAGTGTGAAAGTTCGCGGCGACGTCGCAGCCTGAAACACGCCAGCATGTTGTAAATCTTTTGTCAGCTGTTCTTGCTGTATTAGACAGTGATGCTGTGTCTGTGTACGGTCACAGTGGAGGGAGGGTATTTATGTTCCACACTCTTAAGAAAAAAAACAAACCAAAAAACAGCAAATCGCACTGCAAAAACAAAAAAGTGAGATTAAAAATTTTTTTTTTTTTTTTTTTTTTTTTTTTTGCAATGACATTTCAATCATCAAAACAGTGATTTTTACAACGTCCTTTTTTTTCTGAGGCTGATTATCTTGTGTGAAATATAAACATCAGCCACTGGGAAGTACTGCATAGCTTCTTGGCTGCCCTGTACGTCAGTGGATCACAGTGTATCGTGGAAACGCGTCGCTAGCCGCAACACACGCCTTCATACCTGCAGCTTTCCCGATGATACAAGAGACAGGAAGCCAGACAATCTGTGACAAAAAACACCTGAGAACAATTGGTTGATAAAAAAAAAAAACTTGGCATTTTTCGATTGAATAAACTGAAGAAGCAAACATCTGTAAGGTTGTGAATGTAAGAGATAAAGATGTAGATATGTTTGTCGTATGACTCAGGATGAACACAGGATTTGGTTCCGGTTTGAGTTTGATACTCCTGATGATTGTTCTCCAGCAACTAAAGTTTCCAGATTCTCTGGAAACGTCCAGACATTCAGGCATTCTGCAAAGGCAGCCGCAGGTCGTAAAACAGTCTCTATGGTAACAGAAGGGTCATGGATGAGTCTGACATATTTTACTCGTTGCACACTTTATGTATTACTATATACTTATTTTTACAAAGGAGCCATTCCAGCGACGTTCTTTGCAACCTGGTAAAGATGGGCAAGAAGGCTTCAAATGGATTCACATTAATATTATTTATGTATTTACATCATCTCACAGTGAAAAAGCCAACCTTTATTTTGAGTAATTCAACTTAGAGTAGACTTTAGATCACGCCTAAAAAATTCAACCTGCTCGAGCCCAGAGGCATTGCGTCCGAGCCCAAAGTAAACCCACCGTATCATTTTAAATAAAATGTTACTGCTTTTGTTTTTAGACCACTGTTATTTAAGTGCAACTTCTCCTGTTTTTAGCTTTTGTTTGACGTCTTCCAGCTCCAACTTGTCGCTTGTTGTAACCTCAGTGTGAGTCAAATCGTCTGGGATGTGTTTAATTTACGTGTGGTATAAATATGACGTGACACAGATGTCCATTTCTTATGGATGAGGACATATATTTACCACGTAACTATAGACAGTGAGCGGGATGATAACGGAGGCAAAATAATCCTCTAAAACTCCAGCAAAACTGTAGCAACCAATAACACATTTGGGTCACTGAGTCTCCATAGCGACCTCCTTTTTAGAGTGATGTCAGAAACGCAATCTTTTCCATCACACCGTTTCAAACGTTAGCATCGTGAGCTTCAACAAAAATCATGCAGATTGGGTCAGAAGTGTTTTGCATTCGTGCTTTTTATCCACTATACGGTTTCCGTATCTGCAAGAGACAATAATACTTTTGAGGAACACTGATCTGACGCGTTGAGGAAATATGTACACTTGTTTTTCACTAAATAGCTACTATAATAAGACCGTCAAGTGGCTCAAAACTCCTGAATGGTTATTGCAACGTCGTTGTTCATGGAGGCCGTCTGTAGAAAAGCGCGGCGCTCCCTCTGTGACCATTTCATAAAACCAACATGGAGGATCCAAGAGGGGGAACGTTGGCGGTGGTCTGCAATCATGTGACCTCACGCCGACTGTTTGGGTTCGGATGATGCATGTGTGAGCCTTTAGCGCTTAATGCTTGTCACGATGGAGGATCTGTAGTGCTGTGATGGCCTGCTTTTCTTCCAAATAAATGCTAAGGGAACATTATTCATGGGATTATAAACTTTCTTAAGTAGCTAGAAAGAAATTTTGAATTAAAAACATCTGCAAGAGTCTACAGAAATGGTCTACAGTCATCTCCTTCTCCAGATTTAAATCCTGCAGAAGGAACCAGAAGAGACTATAGGATAAAAAGGTCAAGGATTCCTCTCTCTAAAAATGTTACAGAAGATGAATCGCTGTAACATTTTTATTAGCAAATTTATTAGCATTTCTATTAGCAAAATCGGATTGTACGAAATATATAGAACATTACCTTTGTGTTTTTCCCCACTAAAACACCCAAACAGATTTTCAGTGTGAGATAACACTACTTCAATAACACATCACTTTATTTTCAAGCCTTTACCAGGAGTGCCAATAAATGTCACCGAAACCAAACCGAAATGAGTTTGTTGCGCTCGCCGGCACGGAATACCGTCGTTTGGAAAAGATCGAAAAAAAACAATATCAAATTTCACACACACAATCACAAAAATACATCATTTTCTATTCCACAGTTTTGGGTCAATATATACTAGTACAACAGTTCTGCGTGAGCCTGATAAATAACTCCTACTCACAACCCCCTTCAAAAATAATGATACTTGACACAATGAGCCAGGTGTGAAGATTCACACATCAGTAAAATCAGAGCAATCAGCTGCATTTTAGCAACTCAAACTGGAACTGAAGAGGGGAATTACAGACGATGGTTAACAAATTAAGATCAGGCTGTTCCTTTCATCATGATACCAAACTGTAAAGCAAACCATAAAGCAATACTGATAGTGGATTCATAGTGTGTATGCTGGAGATTGATTAGTCGTGTTAATTGCAGCAAAATTGCAGAGAAGAAGAAAAAAAAAAGTCATATAAAATCTGTGTCTCCTGCAGCAACCGATGCTCTTTTCATCTGAAAGTGCCGTAATGTGTTAATGCACTGCACTGCTGTAACACACACACACACACACACAAATTAAGTTCTTTGTACTGACCCCTGACTGGGATGAATGAGATGTTTTAAGAGAAATTAAAGGTGGAAATTGAGGAAGCTGTAAATTGCTCCACACTCCGAGTCGAAGCCGGCCTCCACGCTGAGCGCGGGAACACAGTGAGCGACGTTTGTTAACAGTGACCAGCTAGAGCACTAATGAGTACCTGACATGTACAGAAAACCGTCACGTAATTCACTGCAAGCAGGCGGAAATTCAAATAAATGCATAGGAATCACAGACTCCTTGTAAAGTCAATAAATCCGTAACGGATGGCTAAACTTTTCAACTAGCAGATTAACTGCTAGCTATAAAAGCTGAGTGACCGTCTTCTGGACTGAGAGGAGTTGTTTGGAATATGGCTGGAGGTGAAATAAAAGGAAAAAAAATGCAAACAGAGTGTTATGTATAGCAAAGAGCTCCCTTATTCTATTTTACTGAGCTTGGTTAACAGGTTGAGGTCCTTTGGTCAGGGTGACGAGGAGAGGATAGTGGATGTTTTCATCGTATGCCTGCTTTCCTTCTCTCAGCATCTGAAAAAGGACAAAACGGGGAAAAGCAGTGACTAAACACAACACGGCAGAAATCTTAGTGTGACGCTGCACATGTAGGAAAAACACAGCCTGAGGGGGGGAAAAGTAGCACTTTAGCGAAACGTGGAGCGAGTGCAAAAACATAGCCTACAAGAAACATCTTGAACGAGTAAATCTGGAGGTTCAGAACTAAAACCAAGCTAAAAGAATCACGTTTAAGACGAACGGTTTGAGAAATGTTTGCAGGTGTCAGTTCTGAGGGGTCTGTTAGACTTTGTCAGAGAACTGCTGTGTTCAATTAGATATTTTTCTTTTGGCTAAAAACTCAAGTTTACGGCACCACAACATGCTGTCCTCCTGCAAGAACGTCACAAATAAGGCACAGAGGAGGAAACTTAATAGCATAAAGATGTAAAGTGTCAAACTGTTAATTTCTTCATAGTTTTCTTGAGAGAAGTCAGACTTTTTCACAATTGTTTAAAGTGCTCAGTGGTTTTCCAGCGTTCCTAAAGGGGGAGATACTTTTGAGATTTCATTAGATGATCTCTGTTTGGTTTTTGTACCTGTTTCTAAATAGCAAAGTGGACAAATGAAGGACAAAAAGAGGAATGAGAGGCCTAGAGTCCAATCTAGTTAAAAAAAAAAAAAAAAAAAAAAACCAAACCTGAAAAAAAATTTTGCAGGACAAATTG